GTAATAACACTTGGGATTACTATGTGCCATGCATTTACTCAGTTAATCCTCATAATAATGCAGAGCGTGTATGTGATTCATATTCCATTTTACAGATTAGGAAATGCAGGCCCAGAGGCTCAGTAGCTTGCTCAAGGTTGAGAGCTTGCTCTAGGAAGTGGCAGAGTCTGCATTCAAACCTGAACCCACTGGACTTTAGAGTTTTTCTCTAAATCGTCCTGAGGAGGTGACATTTACATTAGGAGCTGAGTGACGAGAAGCATCTTGCCGTGGAAAGACAGAGAATGTTCCTGGCAGAAAAAAAACAGTAAGAGAAAATTCCCTAAGGGAAGGAAGACCTTGGCTGTTTTAGAGGAACTGAGAAGAGATTAGCAGGCCTGGTGCTTGCCAGGGGAGAGTGATAGAAAGTGAGATGGATCAGATTGTTGGGGACAGAAATGCCGGCCTCAAAGTCAGAGGCAAGAATTTGCATTTTGTGGTATTCGTGGTGGGATTCATGTGTCTTCGCTTCACTCGCCATAACCTTTTCCCTGTTGTATAATGAGACATGTAATACTTGCTTTGACTACTTCATGGGGTTCAGGTAAGGATCAAATGATGGAATGTGTGTGACAGTAAATTGTTCTGTGTGAAATTGTTTATAAAATTAGAGACAGTAAAGGCCACAGAGTAAGTATTTCTTAGCAAGAAGTTTGTCTTATAAATGCTCTGTGGATTACACTAAAAACAACTGAACTTGTGACTGGACAGAACAAGCGGTTCATTAGCAAATGCAATGTTTAAAAAATACCTGATGTGTTTTACAGTGTTCTGTGGGAGTGCCGCTTCCAATTAGAACAGAGACTAGGTTATGGCTGATTATCTTTCTCACTGTTGCAAGGACAGAAGAGAGGATGCATGTAAAATCATATGTTTTAAGAGCTATAGTGGAGAGCTCTGGACACAAAGAAGTCTAAAGGAACTCAGTTCCAGGAGGGAAGAGATCTTCGTAGTGAGTGAGCAAAGCCCAAAAGTCACTTCTTTCCTTTGTATGTGTCTCTTCCTGAGTCTTTGCACTGCTGGGCAGACGATGACACCTGCCCAAGCAGAGAGGCTTTAGGGGGAGAGGAGACACTATGGAGGTCGGAAGCTGTCAAAGCCTGAATTGCAGAGCTGGTTCTCCATGTCTGACAACTCTCTCCCTTGGGATTTTGCTCATAAAGGCTCTAAAGTAGACAGCAATTCCTGTAATCCCATGGTGTTTATCCTAAAGCCCTCTTGAGAGAGGGACCTGTAATATACACAGGGCAAATCTCCTCAAAGCATTTGGAACCAGTGGTAACCTTAAACTGATTAAAATTACAGCTGAGCCCAGACCCACTTCAGCTCCTTAATGGATTGAAGTGATCTGTACCTCATTTCAGCCACCAGACAGAAGGCTTGCTCTTCTTGGGGAACTTACTATTTATTCCTGTTTCCTAGGGTTCTTTAAAACATAATGTCTGCCATACGACGAAAAATTGTGAGATTTGTAAACGAACAGGAAGATATAACCCATAAGCAATTGACTGTTTTTTGATCAATATTAGCAGATGCACTGACAGCAGTGATGTTGGCGCTAAGAGACAAAAACTTTAAATGACAACAATAAATATGTTAAAGAAGAGAGACAAAATGGGTAAAGGGTGAATAATAGCAACAGAGAAATAGAGCCTTTAAAAAGAACCAATTGGACATTCTTGATATGAAAAAACACAGTATCAGAATTGAAGCATTCCCCGGGTGGACGTAATAAGGACTGGACACATAGAAGAAAAGTGAATCTGAAGAGAGGATAGTAGAAATTCTCTAAACTGAAGCACAAAGGGTGAGGGTTGGGGAGAAGTAAAGCATATTGTGAAGGACACTTGGGACAATGTCAAATGGTTGTGTTATTGGAGTTCCAGAAGAAGAGAGAGAAATTGGGACAGAAAACATATTTGAACAAAAAATGGATAAGACTACCACAAAACTGATGAAATACATACACCCATAGATTCAAGAAGCTCAGTAAACCTTAAGCAAAATAGTGAAAGTCGCTCAGTCATGTCCGACTCTTTGCGATCCCATGGACTATATAGTCCATGTAATTCTCCAGGCCAGAATACTGGAGTGGGTAGCCTTTCCCTTCTCTAGGGGATCTTCCCAACCCAGGGATCGAACCCAGGTCTCCCACATTGCGGGTGGATTCTTTACCAACTGAGCCACAATACAGAATAAATAGAAATAAAATCACAATCTAGGCATTTCATAATTAAGCTTCTAAAAACAAAAGAAAAAGGAAAAATGTATTAAAAGCAGTTAGAGAGGAAAAAACATTATACTTAGAAGAATATCAACAAGGATTATAAATAATTTTCCATCAGAATCAAGAATACAGATAACAATGAAATGACAGCTTTAAAAGGATTATAAAGACAATAAAAACTGCCAGCCGAGTCCTGTGCCCAGTAATCATATTCATCCAAGATGAAAGTGAATGAAAGACACATTCAGAAAGAAATATGAGGGAATTTGTTGCCAGCAGATCCATAGTACAAGAAATGCTGAAGAAATACCAAAGGAGGTTGGCAAAACCGCCTAGAGTGATCTGTTATAGCTACATTGCCTTGTAGGGAGGATAAGGCACACCAGAAAGGATAAAGGTAAAAGTCTACTTGTTTAACTTTAAAAAAGTTGTTGACTTTTTTGATTTATGTGAGCTTGATTTTGTGAAATTTATTAAAGTTCAGCATTTTTTAAGTCAGTGTTTTTCAAAGGTGACAAAAAGTTATTTTCACTTACCATTTTCGTAAATGATTGAAAAATACTATAAGGATTTTATAATAACTTTTGTGGGATATAAACATGAAGAAGTAATATATATGACAATAGTGGTATGATAAGGAATGAAGGGAGAATTACACTCACATGTTAGTTACATTGTTCTGACGTTGTAAAATACTAACTCAAGGCAGATAGTTATATAAGGTATTTCTTAAAAGATAATGGAGGAGAAATGGAATAATAATTTTTTTTATTAATGACACTTTAACTTAATGGTAATTAACCATCCACTGAAAATCTAATTTTACACCTCATGGTGTTTTCCCAACAAAAGTTGCTATATAACGCTGTGTAATGGTCGCATTCTGTTTTCCATATAATGTTTTCCTGGTATTGTTTTGGAGTAAAAAATTATAAACAGCTGATGAAGCTGAAGCTCTGTTTATCCTAATATGGTGAGGTATGAAGCTGTAAGTCTCCTCAAAGTGTTGGATGAGCTGGAACGTTGCAGTTATGTAATACTTCAGGACTGGAAGGTCACGGTCCCTACTCTACCCTGGGGTGAAAGGGAAGTATTCGGATCCCTCACCAAACAAGCGAGAACTCTTCCAAATGTGCTTATCCCAAAAATGCTGTCTGACTTCTTTGCCAAAAAAAACAGTTGGCTGTTGCAATTAAAGGATTTTGGGGGTGGGTTGTCTCAGCTGAGACCAGTGTGTTACGCAGATGTTCATGACCTGCATTTCACATCTAATCGCCCTGCTCTCAGCAGAAGTTTATGATGATCTCTTCTCTGAGATTCCACCAGTATTCCCTTTGCATGAGTAAGAAACTGTAGTAAATGAAAACAGTCCTTGCTAATCCTAAATACATATGTTCCTTATCATCTAAGATTCACTTAATAGTTCCCAGATTTCTCACTTCTTCACATATTTGCGGTGCTGAGGTATATCTGCGTGTTTGCTTAATTTCTAAGATAAATTATTCTATTCCATGCAGCCATTGAGATGGTATGTCTGTGTTGGCATGGAAAAGATATCTATGACATGGTTTTGAGTGGCGAAAACAAAGCATCTCGTAGAACAATATAATGTGATACAGATGGGAAAGACCTTCAGTTTCTGCTTTATAAATTGTGTATTACTTAAACTTTTATCCTTATAATACACCATCTTATAAATTTTAAAAACAGGCTGTGTCTTATTAAGACTGTAAAATTTTTATGTCAGTCATACTTATTTTTAAAGAATAAACCTAAAAAAAATCTGTTAGTTTTGGTAGCCCGTCAGGCTCCTCTGTCCATGGGATTTTCCAGGCAAGAATACTGGAGTGGGTTGCCATTTCCTTCTCCCTCCAAAAAAAATCTATAACTAGAGAAAGTTTGGGGCATCTATATATTTTTTTCTGAACAGTGTACAGAGGGCAGTAGGCTTTGTGAGCAGTGGTAATCGAATACGGTTTCAAGAAGTAGATGTCTTATAATTCTATGAATTTGCTAATGGTTTTCAGTATTGGTCTTGATGCAAAAGGGAAAGACTTGACAGCCTAAAAACAATATAGGAAGCAATAGCTGTCTTGATATCCTGTGTTGATTTTATATGCATTTCAATCACTAGAATGTCTCTGTCATGTCAAGCTATAAGGAACTCAGTGAAGAACTCTTATGACCTAGTTATCAAATAAAACTACCTCAAATTGTTTTTATTACACAGCACAGAAGAAAAAAATTAAAGTGGATATCTTAGATTTTTCTGAAATGCTCTGAGTTTTGAAAATAAGTTGACTAACTCAGTGTAAACCTAGAACTGCTTCTAGTCAGGTACAATGTCAGGATCAATGATCTAATTCTGGAAATTTCTACTAAAGGTGATTGACGAATCTAGGACTCCAAGCACAGCCAGCTTCCCCCCCGCCCTCTTGTGACATTTACAGAAGCTAACTTTTACTCTATGTGTTTTGATTAATATAAGCAAATTCTTACTTTATGAGTGTGTAAAAGTCACAGAAAGTATTTTTGTGATAATTTCCACATGGCCACAAAGTCATTGTGAATTAGAGAGGATGAAAAGGGTGGGGCCATCTGACTGGGGGTTACTCCCTCAAACCTCTCTCCGTCACACTAACACCTTCTCTCCATCAGTTTCAAACTTTTGTGTGATTCCTCACATGAGACACTGATTTCCATTGACCGATAGTTAATACTTTTCTTTCCTCAGAAAGTCCATCCCTCGCTGCCGAAGAATCACCAGGATGCTCTCCAATGAGTCCCTTCAGTCCCCGGCGTTCAGCCGCTCCAACTCTCAAGCCTCCGTAGACAGTGCCTCCATGGAGGATTTCTGGCGGGAGATAGAAAGCATCAAAGAGAACAGCCTGGGGGCTCGGGAGGAACAGACGCCTGCCGAGGCCAAGCCCCTGGATGGTGAGATGCCAGATTGGTCCGTGCAGCCTTTGACATGCTGTCTTGTTCTGTTGGCAGGTAGACGTCATTCCACGAGTAGCCTAACTAGTGAATCAATAGACTTTGGTGTACCAGCTTCCTGCTCCCGCTCCTTTGTATCTGCTGCTCTGGCTCAGGGTGGCTTCTGCTCGGCAGGTGACATGACCTGAAGGGGGGCTGTCAACCACCCAGATTGATCCCTGACACATCACCGTTTAGGGAGGCCGTACCTGGCTGTGGATTAGAATCATGATTGTCTAGCAGATTGACTATTCTAATTTTGAGGTTTTTACATCTGCATACTTGACTACTAATTACCAAAGAAAGATACAGAAAAAAAATTGCCAGCATAATTCTAGAGAAAAAAATATTTGACTTTGAAGCACTTACTAGTATTGATGTGTTTAGAGAATGGATAATCCATACTTCACAAGATAAATGCCATGTCAGATAGGTCAGTTATACTAGTTTCCAGTGAAATTAAACAAGAAGATTGAGGAACCAAAAAAGTATTTGTGTTGTTGTTTAGTCTCTTAGTCATGTCCGATTCTTTGCGACCCCATGGACTGCTTGCAGCACGCCAGGCTTCCCTGTCCTTCCCTGTCTCCTGGAATTTGCTCAAACTCCTGTCCATTGAATCCATGATGCCATACAACCATCTTGTCCTCTGTTACCCCTTCTCCTCCTGCCCTCAATCTTTATTGCCCTTAATTTTCTAAAAGAGCAAAATTACTCACCTGAGATTAAAAGCATGGGACAAGGAGGACCTATTTTATAGCACAGGGAACTCTGCTCAATGTTACCTGGCAGCCTGGATGGGAGGGGGGTTTGGGGAAGAATGAATACATGGATGTACATGACTGAGTCCCTTTGCTATCTACTTGAAACTGTTACAACATTGTTAATTGGCTATCAGTTCAATTCAGCTGCTCAGTCGTGTCCGACTCTTTGCAACCCCATGAATCACAGCACGCCAGGCCTCCCTGTCCATCACCAACTCCCGGAGTTTACTCAAACTCATGTCCATCGGGTCGGTGATGCCATCCAGCCATCTCATCCTCTGTCGTTCCTTTCTCCTCCTGCCCCCAATCCCTCCTAGCATTAGGGTCTTTTCCAATGAGTCAACTCTTTGCATGAGATGGCCAAAGTATTGGAGTTCCAGCTTCAGCATCAGTCCTTCCAATGAACACTCAGGACTGATCTCCTTTAGGATGGACTGCTTGGCTCTCCTTGTAGTCCAAGGGACTCTCAGGAGTCTTCTCCAACACCACAGCTCAAAAGCATCAATTCTTCAGCGCTCAGCTTTCTTCACAGTCCAGCTCTCACATCCATACATGACCAATGGAAAAACCATAGCCTTGACTAGACGAACCTTTGTTGGTAAAGTAATGTCTCTGCTTTTTAATATGCTATCTAAGTTGGTCATAACTTTCCTTCCAAGGAGTAAGCATCTTAATTTCATGGCTGCAATCACTATCCGCAGTGATTTTGGGGTCCAAAAAATAAAGTCTGACACTGCTTCCACTGTTTCCCCATCTATTTCCCATGAAGTGATGGGACCAGATGGCATGATCTTAGTTTTCTGAATGTTGAGCTTTCAGCCAACTTTTTCACTCTCCTCTTTCACCTTCATCAAGAGGCTTTTTAGTTCCTCTTCACTTTCTGCCATAAGGGTGGTTGTCATCTGCATATCTGAGGTTATTGATATTTCTCCTGGCAAACTTGATTCCAGCTTGTGCTTCTTCCAGCCCAGCGTTTCTCATGATGTACTCTGCATATAAGTTAAATAAGCAGGGTGACAATATACAGCCTTGACGTACTCCTTTTCCTATTTGGAACCAATCTGTTGGTCCATGTCCAGTTCTAACTGTTGTTTCCTGACCTGCATATACGTTTCTCAAGAGGTGGGTCAGGTGGTCTGGTATTCCCATCTCTTTCAGAATTTTCCACAGTTTATTGTGATCCACACAGTCAAAGGCTTTGGTATAGTCAATAAAGCAGAAATAGATGTTTTTCTGGAACTCTCTTGCTTTTTTGATGATCCAGCGGATGTTGGCAATTTGATCTCTGGTTCCTCTGCCTTTTCTAAAACCAGCTTGAACACCTGGAATTTCGTGGTTCACATATTGCTGAAGCCTTGCTTGGAGAATTTTGAGCATTACTTTACTAGCATGTGAGATGAGTGCAATTGTGCAGTAGTTTGAACATTCTTTGGGATTGCCTTTCTTTGGGATTGGAATGAAAACTGACCTTTTCCAGTCCTGTGGCCACTGCTGAGTTTTCCAAATTTGCTGGCATATTGAGTGCAGCACTTTCACAGCATCATCTTTTAGGATTTGAAATAGCTCAACTGGAATTCCATCACCTCCACTAGCTTTGTTTGTAGTGATGCTTTCAAAGGCCCACCTGATTTCACATTCCAGGATGTCTGGCTCTAGGTGAGTGATCACACCATCTTGATTATCTGGGTCGTGAAGATCCTTTTTGTACAGTTCTTCTGTGTATTCTTGCCACCTCTTCTTAATATCTTCTGCTTCTGTTAGGTCCATACCATTTCTGTCCTTTATGGAACCCATCTTTGCATGAAATGTTCCCTTGGTCTAGTCCAGTACAAAATGGGCTTCCCTGGTGACTTGGATGGTAAAGAATCCTCCTGCAATGTGGGGGACCTGGGTTTGATCCCGGTGTTGGGAAGATCCCCTAGAGAAGAGATAGGCTACCCACTCCAATATTCTTGCCTGGAGAGTTCCATAGACAGAGGAGCCTGGCAAGCTACAGCCCACGGGATCGCAAAGAGTTGGACATGACTGCTAGAGAGAGAGATTGGATAAAGGACCCACTCTACTCCAGTATGACCTCATTTCAGCTTAGATCCTCATTACACCTGCAAAGACTCTATTTCCAAAGAAGTTTACATTCACCCGAATTGGTGGTTAGAACTTCCACGTATCTTCCAGGGACCCAATTCGACCCATAATGGCAATATTCTGTTGTATGAATATGCCACAATTTGTCTGTTCATTTAACTGTTAGTGAACTTGTGGATTGTTAACAGCTTTGGCCATTATGAATAAGGCTGCTGTGAACAATTTTGTGAAAGTCTTTTGGTGGAGATGTATTTTTATTTCTCTTGGATGTATGCATTTTTCATAGAATATGTGTAATTATGTACATAAGAAACTGCAACTCTTTTTCCAATGCAGCTGTACCATTTCACATTCCTCCCTGCAGTGTCTGACAATAAGTCTAGTTGCTTCATGTCCTTGAACATTTTGATGCTTTAAGACTTTTACTTGAATGGTTCTAGCAACATGTGGAGGTATCTCACTGTGGTTGTAATTACATTTCACTGATGACTAATGATGTCAAACACTTTTTCTAGTGCTTATTCTCCTCCATCCCTCTATCTGGCTTTGTAAAATCTTTTGACTCTTTTTAAAAAATATCTTTCTATTATTGCCTTGTATGAATTCATCGTGTATTCTGGATTCATCTTTTGTCGAATATATGTATTGCAAATACTTTCTCACCATCTGTGGCTTGCCTATTCATATTCTTAGTGGGTTTTTTAATTTTTGTTTATTTATGTTTTATTGGTAGAAGCAATTTTATTTCTGCTTATACTTTGGTTTCTCTTACTATCATATAAATCCTTTGCCTTTTGTTTTTTGAAAGTGCAAGGATTGGTTTGGGGCTGCCCTGGATCATCATTGCTGCACATAGGCTTTCTCTAGTTTCCGTAACTGGGGGCTCTTTTCTTGTTGCAGTAGCTTCTCTTGCGACAGAGCACAGGCTCTGGGGTGTGTGGGCTCAGCGTATGTGGCTCCTGGGTTCTGGAGCACAAGCTCAGTCGTTGCGGTACATGGGCTTAGTTGCTCCACAGCTTGTGGGATCATCCCAGGTTAGGGATCAAACCTGTATCCCCTGCATTGGCAGGTGGATTCTTAACCACTGGATCACCAGGAAAGTCCTTGTGGGATCTTTTAAATGGGTGTCTCTCTTTTGTTCTCGCTCCTCTCTCATTTTTCTCTTGTTTGTTCCTTGTGCAAAAGTACAATTGATTTTTGTAACCTGACCTTTTATTTCATTATCTTTCTAAATTCACTTACCAGTAGTTGTCTACTACTAAATGTCTTAGGATTTTCTAAATAAACAAAGACATTTTTGGGGAATAGAGACAGTTTTTACTCTTTCCTTTCTGGCTTCTGTGTTTTTATTTTTTTAATCTTGCCTTATCATACCAGTAAGGCCTCCGAATAAGTTGAATGAAAGTAAGTGATGACAGTTTATATCCTTGCTGTGATCCCGGTTTTGCAGGGGAAGGCTTCAATATTCACCACGAAAAATGGTTATAACTGTTAAGGTTTTATAGATGTTCTTTATCAATGGCCTTCTATTCCCATTATATTAGTTTCAGGTATACAACATAATGATTAGATATTTGAATACATATATGGTTGTGAAACAGTCACCAAAGTAAGTGTAGTTAATATCCATTGTCACACATCGTTACAAAATTGTTTTTCTTGTGGTAAGAACTTTGAAGATCCTACTCTCCTAACAATTTTCAAATACGCAATAGAGTGTTATTAAATATGGTCACCATGCTGTGCATTACATCCTCTTGACTTACTTATTTTATAACTGGAAGTGTGTACCTTTTGACCATCTTTACCCATCTTGCCCACCCCGACTCCTTGCCTCTGCTGAGCATACTGTCTATTCTCCATATTTATGCTCTTGGGCTTTTTGCTTCATTTTGTCCTTAAACTCCACGTGTAATGAGATTGTATGGTGTGTGGTGTTTGTCTTCCTCAGTCTCACTTCACTTGGTATAATGTCCTCAGAGTCCAGGATGGTCTTCTTATATTGTTTACTGATATTTCTTACTCATTGATGTGTACAGACTTACAGATACACATATCATCCAGTCACAGAATATTCTCACTTTCTTTTGGCAACTTCATTTTACAGAAGGAGAACTTGAAGCGGAGTGGTTGCAAGATGTGGGTTTATCAACCCTGATCTCGGGTGATGAGGAGGAAGATGGCAAAGCTTTGCTCTCTACTTTGACTCGAACCCAGGCAGCTGCAGTGAAGAAGAGATACAACACTTACACACAAACCTTGAGAAAAAAGAACAAGCAATCTGTCAGGGATGTCAGAGACATCTTCGGAGCCAACGAATCTCCTGTAAGTAATGGACAGGGCTCAAAAGATATGTTTAGGGGAGCAGAGGAGAATATGGAAAAAATATCAGGACAGTTCATAGTCATCCTCTAGCTTTAAAAGAGAAAGCTGAAGCAGACAGCAACATGCAAGATTTTATAAACTTTAGTGACTATTTCTGATTTCCTATGCAGCAGGCTCCCTGCACACAAAATTTATTCCCTTCTTTTGAAGTTGGAGGATAACTTCTTTGGTAATGGAGTGCGTCTTTGTGGGAGGGTTCCAGGGAGCCTTTACTTAAATCTGAGTGCTGACTGGAAGCTCTGTGGACAGGCAATGCACTCCAAGCCTCATGAGCACGTCTGGGTGGTTTGCTTTAATTGGGGGTGGGGATGGGAGAGTGGTTAGGGTACCCTTTATGTTCAAAGAAATTAAAATGGTAAAAAGTGAGATACAGCATTAATCAAGTGGGCCAGAGAATGATTCAAAACAATCAGGGGCACCTCACATGTTTTCTGAGCCATGGCTGGTTGAAATTCCACCTCACCCTTGGCGGTTCCAGGGCCACAGTTTTACTTGCAAGGCTGTGAGTCACATCCTCCTATTTCTGCGGTCGTTCACTACCAGTTCTGATCTACTTCATTCATCCGTTTATTGCATCATTGATGCAACAGATAATTATTGGATATGTCCTCTGTGCAATTCTTTTTTAAAAAAATATTTCCTTATCATTTATTTTTGGCTGTGTTGGGTCTTAGTGACAGTATGTAACTCAGAGTTGCAGTGCATGGTCTTTTTCTCTAGCTGAGGCGCACAGGACTCAGTAGTTGTGGCTCATGGGCTTAGTTGACCCACAGCATGTGGGATTTTAGTTTCCCAACCAGGGATCGAACCCACCTTCCCTGCATTGGAAGGTGGATTCTTAACCCCTGGACCACCAGGGAAGTCCCTCTGTGCAATTCTTGTATCAGGTTCTATGCAGATAGGATTCATGGACCTCGGATTCACAAATAGGAAAAGGGGAACTTGATGCTTTGCTGCAGGCACCGATAAAGTTGGCTAAGGCCAGTTAGTTAATCACTTTGATTTAGGTTTCTTATCTGCTTACTTGTGATATCAGTAATGACATAAATTAAAACTTCAAGGATATTGGGTAGCTGGCGTAACTGAAAACAGTCTCTAATTTGAAAACAGGTTGTGTGTCAGTCAAGTCTTCTCTTAGATACATTAACCAGAGTGGGGTGTTGCCAAAGCAGCTCACGTCTACAGAGTTAAGCTTTGCCTGTGTGTTTACAATATCCTGGAAGAATCCTGGCCTTTAGACCGGTCTTTGTTGTTGTTGTTGAGTCGCTCAGTCACGTCCAACTCTTTGCAACCCTATGGACTGCAGCACACCAGGCTTCCCTGTCCTTCACTGTCTCCTGGAGTTTGTTCAAACTCATGTCCATTGAGTTGGTGAGCCCATCCAACCGTCTCATCTGTCATCCCCTTCTGCTCCATCTGTCAATCTTTCCCAACATCAGGGTCTTTCCCAATGAGTTAGCTCTTCGCATCAGGTGGCCAAAGTATTGGAGCTTCAGCATCCGTCCTTCCAATGAATATTCAGGATTGATTTCCTTTAGGATTGAATGGTTTGCTCTCCTTGCTGTCCAAGGGAACCTCAAGAATCTTCTCCAGCACCACAGTTTGAAAGCATCAGTTCTTTGGCACTCAGCCTTCTTTATCCAATTCTTAGAACTGTCTGATGTAGTGGAAACGACCCATTTCTGTGCTCTCCAAAGTGATAGCCCCAGCCACATGTGGCATCAGCACTTGAAACGTAGCTAGTGTCAGTAAGGAATGAAAATTTTAACTGTTTCATCATAATTGATTTAAACCTAAATTGTCACATATGGCTTGGAGCCAGTATATTGGTCACAGTTCTAGAATCTTCTGCCATGTATAATGAGTTATAGCAGAATGAGGGAAGGTATTCTGAGTTCTGTGCTGTTTGAACTTTCAGCCTGGTTGATACCTGTGTCTTCCTGGAAGGTGAGATTGTCTCCAGCTGGAACTGGGTACAGGCAGTGCCTACAACTTGAGGCCAGGCTCCATACACACAAGTCCTGGACTAGATGCCTATCAAAGGAAAGGTTTGCCCTTCGGGTTTAAATTTCCAGTGTCATTTTCCAGTTATCACCCAGATATCTTGAGCGAGTACTAAGAACTTGGCCTACATGCATTCTTTCCCCGTTTCTGTTTCTGGCTACTTCAGACTAAGATTTTTCGTTTTCCCTTGCTGTCGTTGTTTAGTCGTGTCTGACTGTTTGTGACCCCATGCATTGCAGCATGCCAGGCTCCCCTGTCCTTCACCATCTCCCAGAGTTTGCTCCAATTCACGTCCCTTGAGTTGGTTGTGGTATCTGACCATCTCATCATCTGCTACCCCCTTCTCCTTTTGCCTTCAGCCTTTCCCAGCTTCAGGGTCTTTCCCAGTGAGCTGACTGTTTGCATCAGGTGGCCAAAGTATTGGAGCTTCAGCATCAGTCCTTGCAATGAATATTCAGGGTTGATTTCCTTTAGGATTGACTGGTTTGATCATGCAGTCCAAGGGACTCTCAAGAGTCTTCTGCAGCACCAAAGTTCAAAAGCATCAATTCCTCTTGCCTGGCAAACTGCAAAATGTAGAAATATCTGTAGCTTCTTTTGAATCCCCCAGCTACTCAAGAAAAATGCATAACTAACCTCTCTAGGTTTCCTAAAACTTTACACTGTAGCCACATAGAAACAGTGTTTCTCCTTTCACTTGGACCCTGAAGGGAATTATAATGTGGGCACTTTCCCACTGGGGCTCAAGTGTTATGAACAGTCTTGTTTTTCTTATTTTTCCATAGCATGTAAGCGCAGTAAACGGTTCAGTATTTAACTCCAGCAAAGGGAGAGAGATAACCACATTCCTGGTGGGCCAGGAGAGTGGCCCGGGGCCTTCCTCCTGTGCACCTCCTGCTTCTCTCCACCCAGTCTTGCTGCTGGAGCCCCAGCTCTAGAGATGGTGGGGAGTGAGGCAGGCCAAATGGTCGCAGGTGGAAGAAGATGGTCAGTCTGTCACCACAGGGACAGTTAAGTTGAATCCTGAATACATTTAGCTGCTGCCTGCTCTTCTCCTAAATGGCTGTTGTCTTCTGAATTAGGTGATGCCTTCCTGCTCATTAAATTTTCATTCTGGAGATGTGCTTTTTCTTGATCGGCATTGACCTTCCACATGTTTTTCTCTTGTACCTTTTTTTTCAGGCCCAAGTTTTTCTCTACCCTTATCAAACCATTCTTGCTTGCTTTTTATCTTCCAGGAACATCCAGCAATTTCTGTTCTACTAATGGAAATATTTCGTGGTTTCTAGATCTACTCTTTGAGAAAAGTAACTCTGACATGTTGAGTGATTTGCAGGGGCAGGAGAATATGCCATCTTGATCCAAGTTTCTTATGTCGATTTCTCAGTAGTATGTTTCTTCCAAAAAATGTGCTTTTTTCCTTATTATAAAAATAATACATAGTCTTTAATGGAAATTTAGAAAATAGGGACAAGCAAGGAAAAACATGAGTATTTCCATGGGCCCAAATAGAATTTTGTGATTTAATTGACTAGTCAATAAGTATAATTTTCAGTGAAATTCTATTCTAAAAGAATAGACTATTTAAACCTTGTTTTAGTAGAACTCTTACACACTAAATCACAGATACTAAGTCAGCCTTTGGGTACATAGTGCAAGATCTCAAATCCATTTCATCATGAGCCCAAACAGAATTTTTTAATATTCAGAAGCTGTGAATCAGTTATTACCTCCAGTAATACATTTCACTGAGCAAAACAGTCAACCGAATCTATTTTCAATTTCATAACTGAAAAACAGTTAAAGGTGGGACTAACTCACAATTAACTGTATAAATAGAAGCATACAGTTCTTTTTGGAAAAAACATGATTATATCACATATATATGCTTGACTGCATGGCACAGAAAACCCAGGAGTTATACAAGTACAAATGAGGAAGCTGAAAGGAGGTGTTCCTTTGCTTTAGCGTAGATCAAGCTTCCTTCCTTCTTTGTATTGCGTCTTTCATGCATGGCCTTCATCCTTCTGCTTACCAAGGGGGCTGGGCCACTCCTGACAACCACATCCATGTTCCTGGCAGTTCCTGGTGCTTGTACCTCCTGACTGTCTCTCTCTGACTTCAGTTTCCCAGAAATCTTACTTGGTAGAATTACAGTTACCTCTCATGGCCTGGAAACATTATATGATCACTCGTAGCTACAAGAGAGCCTGGGAAATTAATACTGTCTAATTGTACACAAACATTCCTGGAAAAAAAAAAATCAAGACCCTATTAAGGAAGACAGGCAACTGGGTTTGGAGCAGGAAGGTTAATTTACAGTGTCTTCCACAGAGACCAGTGTCTGTCACTGCACCTGGCGTGTGGTGAGGTCCCGGGACTGGCTGCCAAGTGGCCACATGCAGTGCTGAGTGCACAGGCAGTCGTATCTGTGGACGTCTCACCAAGTCAGGATGGACGTGCGCACTGTATGCATAATGCGTGATTGAATGCACTGTGACCCCTGGGAGAACGTGCCTGAATAAAAATGCTCTCTGTTTTTCTCAATAGCCAGATGATTTTTGTTGTGTCCCAGCTCCTCTTCTGGATGTGAGCCCGGATGAAGGAAGGATGCCAACGGTCCCCTGCAGAAATGGTCAGCTGGTAAGACAAAGAGAGGGGTGCGAGCACCCGGGGGTCAGAAGTGGTTACTTCAAGGCAACCTGGAAAATTTTTGAAGGAAAAAAAAAAACTTATCTTGTAACAAGGAAGAAAAAAAGGGTCTCAGACTCAGGAATGAATGATTAAATAGTTAAATCCACAAACAACAACGTGGCCTCCTTGTACCTACAGTGAGAAAAACAACCACAGCTGCGGCTGCCGGGAGTCAGGACTGGGGGAGGCCGTCAGCTGAGCCATTGTTCTCTCTGCCGAGTGCGCAGTGGAAAATTTTAGGC